CGATTGTGTCGGGAAGGTGAACATCATGGAATGCCAGTTTAATAGAACCAAGTATTCTTGCATCGAAGGAGTACTTGAGTGGAGGCCCAATGTCCATCTACTACCTTAATACTAAAGCTATAAATATATGCACATAGATCTATTTCCACATGCTCATATATAAATATATTTACATATGTACATGTCTATATTTAGACCTCTATATCAAGTAGTACCCTCTTAACGTAAGAACACTTTGCTCTAATAACCCGGCATTTTGTTATGCTGACCTTCCCTGACACGATTGCTGAAGACAAAATTGGTGCATAATAAATGTGGTGAAGAAAGCTGATGGTACCTGGCTATCAAAAGATATAGCATCTAGTGGCCATCTAGCTGGGAAGTAACAAAGCCCACCTGGAAGAAGCACATCAGCCTGTGTGATCACGAGGTGTCAACAGAATCAGGTATCAGGCATCAGAAGACCCAAAACAATCATATCAATGCAAACAAGGGTGGGTGGAGTGGAGACCCAAAACCCATGTGTAAACAATTGGACATCCGCAAACAGAAGGGTCACAAGGAAGGGACAAGCCAGTCGGTGCAGTATAGCACCAACAAAACATACAACATTCCTGTAGTTCTTTAATGCTTCCTCACCCCCACTATCTTGACCCCAGTTCTACCTTACAAATCTGGCTAGACCAGATGATATACACTGGTACAGATAAGAGCTCTTGAACATGGAATCCAGGACAGGTAAATTCTTCAGGATCAATAAAGGGGAGTGGTGATACCATGAGGGTAGGGGGAAGGTGAGGGGAGAAAGGGGGAACCGATGACAATGATCAATGTATAACACCCCCCACTACCCCCGAAGGGGCAAACAACAGAAACATAGGTGAAGGGAGACAGTAGACTGTGAGATATGAAGGGAGACAGTGGTGTAAGATCTGAAAATAACAATAATCTTTAAAATATAAAGAGTTCATGAGGGTGGGAGAGTGGGGGAGGAAGGAAAAAATTGAGCTGATACTGAGGGCTCGGGTACAAAGAAAATGTTTGAAAAGGATGATGGCAATATATGTACAAATGTGCTTGACACAATGGATGTATAGATTGCTATTAAAATGATTGTTTAAAAAAAAAGCTGTAAGAGCCCCCAATAAAATGATTTTTAAAAATTGCTTAAGGTTGTAAAGACTAGTGTTTTAAATACTGTTAAAGTTAGTAGATATGCTATGATATCCAATAAGAAAAATATTTTAAAAATATGTTGTATACTATTTATATAAAAACAAACATGCATATAAATACATGCACCTATGCATAAAGTAAGGGGCTTGAAAAGTTGGTAGGAAAATTCCATTTCCTTTCTATTCTGTTTTTCCATGAACTTTTTCAAGCCTCCCTCATGTTATGTATATAAATTATGTAACCATTCTGAGCACAAAGTAGGATTTTAAGAAATGTTCTTTGAATTATGTTAAATATGAAATTTGGTAGTTTAGTATTACTTTATGACATACATAAATAAATGTACCAACACACTTATAGTGCTGCTTACCATTATTTTTACATAATTAGATTTAAATTATTATTTCATTGTCGTTAAGTACGTTTTTTTATGTTATGCCAATCATTGATAAAATATGCAAATGGTAACTATGATAAATATAAATCCCATGGATTCTGCCAGGATAGCTTTTCCTTATTAATACTAATTTAATGTAAGCAATGCTAGTAAGCTCATAAATCATTTATAGATCAATATACCACTGTTCTTTACATTTTAGAACATTATTATGGCCAGATTGGACAAGAGACGCAAAGGAGTGTTTGGGCCACCTATGGGAAAGAAGTGTATCATTTTTATAGATGACATGAATATGCCTGCATTGGAGAAGTATGGCGCTCAGCCGCCTATTGAATTATTACGACAATTTTTTGACTGTGGATATTGGTAACTATTTAGAGTCTTAATAAGCCATGATTAAGTCATATTTGACTCTCATTTTGTATTTTGTTTCTCAAAGCAAAATAACACATTTTTCCCAAGCTGTTTGGGAGAGAGAATGGTTGTTCAGATTTTCCTATACCAAAATATTTATATTTTCTGTGACTTCTTAGGATCATCATAGCTTTGAGACGGCTTGGTTTTGACAGCGACTTCATAGATTATCCACTCCCACACACACCCCATTATGGTGATATGATCAGTTTCCAGTGCTTAGGACCCTGTATCTTTTAGTTAGGAAGAATCATTCTTTGACTCAAACTTCCTTGTGTTTTTATTACTATCTTTCTCTGTTACAAAAGTTTATGGTATGATGTAGACATCCTTATGTGCTCTGAAGATAAAGTTTGAGATGAGGGAAAAATAAGGACTTAGCTATAAATAGGGTGACTATATAATTAAATGTTGGAACTGGAGTATATCTGAGATTGCCAGACGATAGGATTCACAATGGCTTCAGGCTAGCAAACACAAACAAGATGCAGCCTAAGCAAAATTGGACAAGAGGTTCAGTCACTCACTTATGCTTCTGGATTTGGCGCAAGAAGAGGAAAGGTGAAGGGTAGGAAAAGGAAAGGGACCGGAAAGAGGAAAGGGGACAGGGTATCAGTAGGAGACTCCCTAATGCCAGAACCTGGGCAAGAGCCTCAGAGCCACTGAGAGAAGAAGAATGCAGTCTTGAGACAGCCTTCTCCCCCACTCCAGGCGTGACTCCTTTTAGAGTAGGTCAAATCACATGCACTTTCTAAGGAGGTCGATATTTCATCTGATTGCCTTTATCACTGATTATGTTCCAATGTTTACGTGCTTTCAAGGTATGACCTTAAGGACACAAGTAAAATCACCCTGGTTGATATCGAGCTGATTGCAGCCATCGGCCCCCCAGGTGGTGGAAGAAATCCAGTTACTCCCCGTTTCATTCGACATTTCAACATCTGCACTATCAATACCTTTAGCGATGAAACCATGGTTCGGATCTTCTCATCAATTGTAGCATTCTACCTTAGGACCCATGAATTTCTTCCAGAGTACTTTTCAATTGGGAACCAAATTGTCTCTGGGACAATGGAAGTAAGCAAATCACGCTATAGAAAATGTTTTAGTATTACACATTGCCCTCCTTTGGTCTTTGCTTTTTAAATATCACTTTGCTCAATCTTTTACTTGGGTTCTTCAGAGAAGCTCTTCAAAAGAGCTGAGAACAGGAGTTTATAAGTTTTGAAAGTAGAGCATCTAACTGGGATTGAGTAGCCCCTGGTCGCTACTATATGACCTTGAGAAAATAATTTGATCTTCCCCATGGCTGAGTTTTTTAATCACCCAAATGGGACACAATCTGTATCCCACAAGATTGTTGCAAGGTATCACTGGGAACAAGGTTTGCTACATCACGGAGTTTCTCTACTTGTTAGATTCTTCTTGCTGGTAATTGTCCGAGTGACCCCATATGTGCAGGACAGAGCTCTGTAAAGCTTTAAGGCCTATTGAAAGCAGGTCATTAGGCTTGTCTTTGGAAGGGCCTGTGAGCGGGTTCAAACAGTAAATATTTAGATGGGTGGCTCAGTGATTAACCATCTGTGCCACGAAGAAATTCCTTATTAGATTCCTACTCTTTATTAACCTTCCTTGCTCTCCCATCCCTCCCACCATGTTTGTCATTAAAAAAAGATAAAATAAAACAACTGCACCTAAAAAATACGCCTTTGGCAGCTTATGAATACTACTTATTAGCCAGATCACATAACTTTGGAATAATTATGTGATCTGGAAAGAAAATATTAAAGAGAAAAATCAAGTGCTAACAGAAAAATAATAGAGGGAACAATAAGGGCGCAGAAGGATGAAAACAGGGTGTGCTATCTGCCTCCACACGGGCAGAATCATCCTTCTTGCTCATTGTAAGAGGGCGGAAACATTTTAAAGGGAACCAATGATAATCTCATTGAACTCAGTTTTCTAGAGCCTTGATAAAAGCGAAACTCACTTCTGGCTGCAAAAATCTCCTTAGAATAATTCCATCCATTGTCAAGAACAGCCTCTTTCTAAAGTTCCTTCCCCCTTGTCCTGGTGGAAATTTGTGCTGTCAAGTATAGATACTGTGAGGAAAAAGGTAGTACGTTATGATGGCTGCATTTTTTCTAACAGAGAAATGCTTCTGTTTATAAAATATGATATTTACATTTCAGGTCTCTCCTGGGAAGATGAGAAGAGGGAGTGGGTCAGGCAGAATGGGATGCAGAAAGAATCCTTTTACTTCTTTCTTTCAAGTGCTAGTGACCCACCCTGTGGAAGTGGGGGAAGGGAATGTGAATCTCAGAACATAGACAAATAAAACATCATTTGGTTTAGTTTAGTTTTCTTCTATTTTCCAGGCTGTATTAGGCAAGATATACTTTATCTTCCTTAAAGGGTTTATTAAGCTGCGTCTAAAAGTATACTTCCTTTACGTGTTATAGCCAATAAAGATAGAAGGAGGGGAGACGGAGTAAGAGAGAAAGGAAGAGAGAATGTGCCGACTTGTTTTGAAGTCAGTGGTATTCAAGAGGAAGCCGTCTCTTGCTCTTCACTTGGCATGCCTCAGAATGAATGAGTTACAGTCAGCCCTGAGACCCTTGAGTTTACCAACATCTGTGGCTGTTCAAATCCCTTATATGAAATAGCACAGTATTTGCATATGTTCCGAGCACATCCTCCGGTATACTTTAAATCATCTCTAGATGTCTGATAACACCTAATACAAAGCCAGTGCAATATAAAGAGCTTTTTGTGATCCCCTTTAGGACTTGCTTTGACCCGCTCACTGCCCCTGCCTCTGATGGTTTTGATCCCCAGTTGGATTGGTCCGTCAGCAGGTGCAGAGACCTCCATATGGACTGCTGACTTTTTATGTTTTCACTTTCTGCTGAAGTTTTTGTTCATTATTTCCTCTGAATGGAACAATCACAGTGCCTGGAAGATAAAAGTATTGTCACTTTGTGAGCTTGGATAGACTCAGTTAATAATAAGTTCTCGCAATATGGCAAAAAACTCCAACCCAACCCAAACAACTATTATAGGGGGAAAAAATAGGGTTCATGGGAAGAGAGGGAGGGCATAAAAGGGAGCTGATATCCAGGAGTTCAAGAAGAAAGAAAATGGATCGAAACTGATTGTAGCCATTGTACAGCACTGTTTGATGTAATTGAAGTGTGGATTGTTATGCTATCTGTAAGAGCTCTCAATAAAATGATTAAAATTTTTAAATAATAATAATGCGTTCTTTCAATTTCACAAAGCCTGATTAAGTGCTATAAAAGAACATAGACAGATATATGCCACTGTAGATTTAGAACGACACAATTTTCCAATCCATATATTTTTATGAGATAGAGAAAATATTTTGTATCGTATACACACATAAATAGTATATACAGTATAATATCTGTTGTGTGGCTTTCATGATCATAAGCATTTTATTTTTGCTTTTTCCATATTCAGATATATAAAAAATCCATGGAAAATCTCTTGCCCACCCCCACCAAATCTCATTACACTTTCAACTTGCGTGATTTTTCACGTGTTATCCGGGGCTGCCTGCTCATTGAGAAAGATGCGGTGGACAGCAAACAGACTATGATCCGCCTGTTTGTGCATGAGGTCCTCAGAGTGTTTTACGATCGCCTGGTTAATGATGAAGACCGAAGCTGGCTGTTCACATTAACCAAAAGTGTTATAAAGGATCATTTTAAAGAATCATTTGATGGTCTTTTTTCACATTTGAGGAAAGGGAATGCGCCAGTAAGTACATTTAATGATTTAAAGCATTCTAATTCAAGCCATATCATAGTGTGAATTGTTTTAAAACAATAAACTTTTTAGAAATATTATTGCTTCCTGGTCATCAAATTCTCTTAAATGACTTCATTGGTAGATATTTATTTTGAGAAGATTTTCCTTCAGGAGAAATTCTTTATATAACATAGAAGTTACTTAAATAATGAAACAGGGAACTAAATGATATAGTGGTATTGTGACAGACGTGAAGTGCGTATTCGTACTGCGATGTCCCATGGAGACTTCTTCAGCTTCTGACAAAACAACAAAAACAAAAACAAACATGCAGGATAGGAAAAAGGAAAAAAAACCCTCTAACATAATTTCAGGTCATAATTTATTAGACCAGAATTTATAAATTTTAAGGTTTTAAAAAAAAAAACTTTAGTTTCATAACATGGATTAAATAAAATTTTATATAACACTTTCTTAAATGAGTCTAAATTAACTCTATGGTAGTGAATTGAGTTGAGAAATTTATTTTGGAATATGTATTACATTTTGTAATTTGCTGATTTCTATCTTATAGGTAACTGAAGAGGACTTAAGAAATCTCATGTTTGGTGACTATATGAATCCAGACCTTGAAGGAGATGACAGAGTTTATATTGAAATTCCAGACATTCATAGTTTCAGTGACATCGTAGATCAATGTTTAGACGAATATAATCAAACTCACAAAACAAGAATGAATCTTGTCATTTTTAGGTACCTACATTTACTGGTGCTTGAAGTTGCTCTGTAAACTTTTTTATGAAATAGTTAAAATGTCCAAAAACATATAAACATATATACAGTGAATGCACTTAGGCTTATGAGAGGTTTTTTTGTTTGTTTTTTGTCATTTTGTCAGGGTATGAGATTTCAGTTTAAATTTTATGAATTACTAGCAAGATCGAATGTCTTTCCTGAATTTGCTGTTTTGTAGATAACTATCATTTCTATTTTTCCCAAATTTTATGAATTACTAGCAAGATCGAATGTCTTTCCTGAATTTGCTGTTTCGTAGATAACTATCATTTTCTATTTTTCCCATAGATTGAGAGATTGAGGAAATACATATAACACATATAATAAAAGCACAAATATATTATCAATATAAGAGTTAGGATCCTATTTTATTTATGGGACTTATGTATTACATTCCATGATTTTGTAGTCTTAATTACTATTCCTTTGCATCAAACGATCCAATTGTAATTGCATTTGAAAAAAGTCATACTTTTAAAAATAGTAGGCTCTTTGGGATAATAGCATATTTGAGAGCAAAGCTGCATTTCTCTAGGAAAATAGGACAATAACTATGTGTAAATGCACAGTCGCGTCTATTGACGTGTATAATGAGTTGTTATTTCATGGTAGGTATGTACTGGAACATTTATCAAGAATATGTCGAGTTCTAAAGCAGTCTGGTGGCAATGCTTTACTTGTTGGATTAGGTGGGAGTGGTCGTCAATCTTTAACTCGTCTGGCTACCTCCATGGCAAAAATGCAGATTTTCCAACCAGAAATTTCTAAGAGCTATGGCATGAATGAATGGAGAGAGGATTTGAAGGTAAAATTATGCAGTAACTTGGTGTCTAAAAAATTACCTCAGTGCATTCTCTTACATGTGAAGCGGGAGCTGGCTCCGTGATTATATTAATGAACATTCTATCCATGGGGTACCACTATGCATTCTGAGCACTGTCCTAAGTGCTTTACATGCATGGGCTCATTCTGTACACCTAATGACCCAGTGCTGCAGGTATGGGTCTGTCTGTGTGTTACTGATGGGAACACCGGGCTGAAGAAGTTATTTCTAATGTCATATTCACTACGTCATTACAACTGTGCTGTCTATTTTCTTTCTTCTTGTTCAAAAACCCAAAACCCTGTAGAGTCGATTTCTACTCATAACAACCCTATTGAACCAAGTAGAACTGTTACTATAGGGTTTCCAATGTGTAAACCTTTACAAAGGCAGACTTTCACATCTTTCTTCCTCAGAGCATCTAGTGGGCTCAAACCACCAACCTTTCGGTTGACAGCCAAAAGCTTTAACCACTGTGCTACCAGGCATCCTTTATTCTAGTTCAGGGAGGTCTCATATCAAGGGTGTTTCTCTGCAGACTCTTAAATATGAACCTCACTAGAATGTGAGTATGATGATGCCTTTAATGTTGTTTAATCTGAATGATTTTGGAGCTGTGCCATTCTCCCAGTAACCAATAGGACAGGGTGTACTTGGGGCTTCATCCTTATGTGCCTGGGGGCTCTGTAGATCCCAGGAGAACGGTGATCCAAAATGAATGCATTATACTTAATTGATATGGCCCTTCTAGCCATTTCCCCTCATGTGGTATATAATTCTGGATTTCATGTACCTGTGGCTGGGGTACCATTGTGGAGAGCATTATCCGCTAACAGGAATGGAATGAGATTGAGTTCTGACTTAGAATATGTGAATCAGACCACACTCTTTGTTTGATGGTTACCCTAGTTACTACTTCCAATTGATGTAAGGAATTATATGCTGCAGCTGAGAGGAGAAAGCAAACGTTTTCTGGAGTGGCCTGGGAAAAAGCCTGGCTGTTAAGATTAGTAGGAGGTCAATCCTATTGGAAACATCTTGCCAGAGGCCCCAGATCATATGTGCAGAAATAAAATACAGTCTAGGGATGGAGAATAGAGATTGTTATTTGGGTAAAATTTGATTGTACCATGTAACTTCGACCAAACGACTTTTCTCTGCATGGATCTGGTAAGGAGGTGCGGGAAGATACTAGTAGGATTCACCTGTGAGTAATTGTGCAGGATCCCTGAAATGCCATCCTGCTGCATGTAAGGAGCCCAGCTGCTGCGTGTAAGGAGCCCTGTGAGAGGCAGGGGGTGTGATCTCAGCACTTGCAAAAGCCAGTCGTGGAGTGTGTCCCCTGGCTTCAGCTTCTGGCTTACCCGTGACTGACCTTTAGACTGAACTTCACCCACCACGAGGTGAGACATTTCCTCGAGCTTTCGTGAGTTCTGTGGGATACTCCAGTGAGTCACAGAACCCAGAGATGTGGGGGAACATACTCAAGGGTGAAGTGGGGGGAAATTGGAGCAGACTATCATCTTGCAAGAGTTGGACTTCTTCTATTTCCCACTTCTTGGGACTACTTTGATATTAATTACTATTAACAGTTATTACTCTCTGATCCTCCAATTTCACTTCTTACAAGTTGGCATAGAGAAACACAAGTAGAATCGAAGCATACATCAGAGAGGGCTGCATCGATACTGAAGGAAAAGTCACATTTACCTTTTTTGTTTTAGTTTTGCTCATACTTCACAGGGACTTTTTTATGTGTTTACTGTCAATTGAAATGATTGACTTAGCCACTTACTATGGTAGAAAGAGCCTACACTCTGAAGTCAGACACATTCTGTTTTAATTTCTGCTTTGCATAATTTAAAAACTATGTTATATTGGAAATATTATGAAGCCTTTCTGTGCTTTAGTTTCTTTATAAAATTTGGAAAATACCCATTTCTCAGATTATTGTGAATAAAGTATATGAAGTATGTAAGCTTCTTGGCAATGTGCCTAGCATAGAATTAATAGTTTGAAAATGTTAATTCTTTTCTTTCCCATTTGGAAACAGCTTTGCATATTCTATTTTGAATATGATTTTGAAATATAGTGGTTCTTATGGCAGTAAGTTAAATCTGTTAATGATTTACTTATTTTATTAATATTATTAATTATAAAACTAATTAGATATAGCTCTTTAAACACTTGCTTCCTGCTTTTAATATTAGAAAATTATTTCTAGGAACACAATAGCCTACATATTGCAAAATGGCATTACTGTATGATATAGAAATGCAGCATTTATTTTATACTTAATTATTTTAAATGTATATGATTCTGCAATAGAGGTATAAATTTATCTTAAGATCGATTACAACTTGCAGAAGTTTTCATGGTATTTTCACTATGAACTCTGTTCAGTAGTGTGCTGGCAAAGGTTTAACAACTGGCTTTTATGGAACATGGATGTGCGGAGTAAGGGAAGCTCTGATTTGTAGTGCTTGCCCATTTCCACGGTATAAATACTCCCACCATGACTGATTGAAAGCTACTAACATGCTGCTGCTGGAAATAAAATTGGGAAGAGACGCACATTAGAAATTTATTAAATCTTAAGTGAAGAGCTATTCTATCTAATCATGCCAGTTTATGGTTATTAAGATTTCCAAACACAGAAATGATAATATTAATAAAATACATGGCACTGTATTTTATGCTCAGATACAAAAGATATAATCTCCAGAGCATAGAGAATAGCAAATTAATAAAATAAGTAGGGAATGATGTTTAAGTATTTGCTACTTTTGCTAAAAAAATATACTTGAAGTTTAACAGCGTACTCATAAGGTCCTGAAATTTTAGCCTCAGTTCTAGCAAGCCTTGAAAGGCCAGCACCAATACCCCAACTGAATCTATAGCTTTGTATTAGCTTGGACTCTTTGAGTGCAATTGACAGAAAACAACTCAAAATAGATTAAACAAAAGAGAAAGTTATTGACTCACATGACTAAAGAGTCCAAAGTATGTGGACTTTTAAAATTCTTTATTTAAAACATAGTATTTGTATTGAGTCTCCTTTGCACCTGAGAATTCATTTCAAAGTAAACATGCTTTTTGAACATTTTATTACAATCTGGGTGAAGGCAAATTAGTTTGCCATTTAACTAGGTATACAAATTTTGTATTGTAACATTTTTTGCAAAATCCCTCAATGTAAAATACTCTTTCCATTTCTTCCCTGGATTCCTTATTCCCATTCATCCTTCTTTCCTGCCTTTTTCTGCCAACTGAACTTGGATTTTGGATAAATGCTGCCTTGTTCATCTCCTATGGTTCATTATTCTGAGGAGGATGTTCCTCATGGGTGTCGTTACTTTAAAATTTGTCTATTGGTTGGTGCAAGGTGATCTTGGAAGTTGGCTCAGTGTCAGGTTTGAAGGATGTCTAAGGACCAAGAATTCTACCAGTCTAAATAAAAACCAGTAAGTCTGGTCTTTTAAAAATGACTTTGAATTTTGTTCTACATTTTTCTCCATTCTCTCCAGAACCTTGTCTATCGTGATCCCTATCAAAGCTGTTTGTACTGGCAGCTGGGCACCATCTTGTTCTTCTGGTCTCAGTCTAGTGGAGACTTGTGGCTCATGTGGTCCATTCGCCTTGTAGAGTCATTTCCTGGAGTCTGATTTTCTTCACTTTCATTTGCTGCTGGCAAGGAGAAAGCAGCAACAGTGTCTTAGATGGCAGAGTGCAAGCTTTACGAGCCCAGTCACTCCTCTCCAAAGTAGCATCCAACGCATTTTTTTTGGAAATTTTTCCTTTCATCTTTATAGTTTTAGGTTTCACCTTTAGTTCGCCGATGCCCATTGAGTTACTTTTTATATATGGTATAAGACACAGACCCGGCTTCATTTATCTGAAAATGGCTATCCAGTTTTGCCAGTACCAGCTATTGAGAAGGCTCTCAGCGAGTGGTGGTTGGCCTTTTTTGAAGTCCAGCTGTCCGCTGGTGCATTAGGGTACATAGGCTTTTGACATAGCTGAATTTAGGGGCTCAGATTATGTTCTCAGTAGTTACTCTCCATTTCCTGATTCTCCTCTCCCCTATTTGGCTGCCTTTAATGGACAGGTTCTTTCTATGAGACAACCAAGATGGTCCCCACAAGTTCTTTGCTGTTGGCCTTTGTATACTCTATCTCAGAAAGGCACTGAACCTTTTGTTTTCAAGTTTTCTGTCAGTACCTGAAGTAAACCTTGCTTTAATCATATGCTCTCCTCTGAGTTAGTGACGATTCTCAGAAGCTTGGGTAAGGAGCCCTGATGATGCAGTGATTAAGTGCTTGGCTGTGAAGGGAAAGGTCAACAGATTGACCTCACCAGCTGCTTCCTGGGAGAAAGATGAGGATATGATACTGATGCTTCCATAAAGATCGCAGCCTTGGAAACCCAAAGGGCATTGCTACCCTGTCCTAGTAGAGCAGTGGTTCTCAACCTTCCTAATGCGGTGACCCTTTCATACAGTTCCTCCTGTTGCGGTGACCTCCAACCATCAAATTATTTTCACTGCTACTTCATAACTAATTTTGCTACTGTTAGGCGACCCCTGTGAAAGGATCATTCAACCCCCAAAGGGGTCGCAACCCACAGGTTGAGAACCGCTGAATTAGAGGGTTACTATGAGTCAGCATTAATTTTAACAGCAATGGGTTTGGGTAGGGGATTGGGAAATTATAAGCAGTTTGGGTTGTGTTTCCTTCCACCCATGGGTGGGGAGAAGTAGAGACCCTTGATGACAGCCCACTTGAGTAGGGAGAGTTACTTCCCTAAACTCAGAGTATTGTCAGGAAAGATGGTTAAAGGGAGTGAAAGCACACACTGTGGGTGTGTACCACAGTCTGCTGACATATGCATTTTAATTTGTAAGGTTCTGTTACGGAATGCTGGAATGAAGGGCCAGAAGACGGTCTTTCTCATCACGGACACTCAGATTAAAGAAGAAGCTTTTCTAGAGGATATCGACAGTGTGCTCAATACCGGAGAAGTGCCGAACATTTTTGCAGCAGACGAAAAGCAAGAAGTGATGGAGGTAATGCTTTTTAGATAATGCTGCTCCCAGCACAGAAATTTCACCTTTGACTTTTTTTCTGTGCTCTTCATTACTAAGGAAAGCTTGGGGAGAGGATTTTGGTTATTAAAATTTAAGTATGTTACCTTAATATATTATACTTTATAGCTTTAAAATTGCTTTTTTTATAGCCATTGGTGTCACACATGCCCCCTCCTCCATATCAGACCCCATAGCATTCTTTGTAATGTTTGTTATCCATTTTAACCAAAATGCATATTTATAAGTTGCTTAAATGTAATATATCACAGCTTATATGAATACTAACAATCACCTTGTAATTTTTTACACTGCTTTGTAACCATATTAATTACATTATTAGTAACTGAATGGAAGACTGTTTTTATTTTTTTCTCTTAAATTAAAAACAAAACAAAACTTTTATTGTGCTGTTTTACCCTGCTCCTGGTTAGTGGCAAGTGGAGGGTGAGGGTCTCCCTCCTCTGCATTGGGTGCACATGTACCCACTCTGGGCCTACTTGGGGCCCACAGCCTCTTGGCCCACATGCGTTTAGCCTCTAGGGTTCTTGGGCTTCTGGCCTCCTAGCACCCCACCCCCACCCGCCGCTCCCCAGTTCCGCACGTGTGGGTGCTCTTTTCCATATGGTTGTTTCATGCCCAGTTGTGAACCCCAGCACAGCTTCCGTGCAGCTTGGCACACTTTCCAGGAATAGCGTGTACCTTTTTGAGACTGTAACACCTGAAACTTGCCCCGTCCTTCATAAAAACTCACTTGGATCACACAACGTGCTTTGGCATGAATTCTCTCAGCATGCGAAGCAAAGAACCCAAGTATGACCCACTTCAGAAGCCTAACATACCCTGTTCTCCACAGCTGGAATCAACTCCACACAAGGGATGTCGGCCAGCCAGACTCCCAGAAATCATGTGAGTAGGATCTCAGTCCTTCTCACCTGGAGGGCCTAATGGGATCATTGTCCTTCACAGGTTCTGGTGGCCTTCAGGAGAGGCAATCCAGGTGTAACTTTTTAGTTGAAAATACCTCTGCTCTCAAGAAGCCTCAGGCCAAACTCAAGAAATGCACAACTTAGGGCACAAAGCCAGCAGCCCTTCCAAAGAGCCTCATGGGGTGGAAGAGGTCACCAGGCAGAGCTGGACAAACTAACAACTCAAAGATATGAAGAGAAACTCTCTTCTAGGTGTGCTGTATGACCTGGACAAGCATATGAAAACGATCGGAAGGTCCAGGAGACATCTGCAGTTCCACATTTGTAAGGTAGATGAGCTCTGTGAAGCTTCTTGTATCCAAAGACGCCTCCATAACAGTGCCAGTACAGTGAAGCAAGCCTTTGCCACGTCCGTCCGCTGCCAGCAAAGCTGCCCGGGAGAGTCTTTCCGAGATCAGCCGGAGCTACAAAGAATACACAGGGAATGTGTGCAGCCTCGAGGCGGAGCTAGAGAGTTGTCTGGGGAGTTCTCCATCAAGATGAAAGGTCTGGCGGGCTTTGCTTGTCTCTGCCCCGGAGATGAGTGTGAGATTTTCAGGAAGTATGGCCGACAGAGCTGGAAACTGAAAGGGAAAATAGAAGTCAATGGCAAACAGTTGGGATGAAGAAGAAATGGTGTTTCTGCCCCTCATAGTTGGGTTAATTTCCAACAAGGCCACGGAGCTCAAGGGGCTGGCAACTCACATCCTGGTGGGCAGCGTGACCTGCAAGACCAAAGAGCTGTTTGCAGCCCATCCTCAGGTGGTGGCTGTTGACATCAATGACCTCGGCACCATCAACCGGAACCTGGAAATCACCTGGTATCCATTTGACATGGAGGATGTGACCCCATCCGCTGGCACTGGAAACCAGGCAGCTGCCCTGCAGTGGAGAATGTCCATGTACAGCCAGGGCACCCCGGAAACACCCACCTTCAAAGAGCACTCCTTCTCGAATCTGCCTGATGACATCTTTGAGAATGGGAAGGTAGCTGAGGAGAAGACGGCACTCTCCCTCAGCTTCAGCCACCTGTCCAATAGAGACTGCGCCCCGCCTTCCCACTCAGCTGGCTCTGCCTCCAGGACGTGCCTGGCCAATCCAGAAATGACCATCACCCCCACAGAGCTCAGCCACAGCAGCCTGTCCTCACAGAATGAGGGCACCGGCGACACTAGCTCAGCATCTTCCAGAAGCTCCTTGCAGAAGGCCCACAGGCAAAGCCCTACAGGGAGGAGCAGGCAGAACCTGTGAGCTGGCGGCCTCAGTGAGCAGTACAAAGAGTTTCAGAATCTGAATTGAAGTCATGCATCTGGATGATATTCCAAAAGATGCTGACCATCTTGAGGATCAGAAACTAAACGATGCTCCCTCTTGGATGGAGGTCACTGAGGGTGAATGAAACAACGGTGCTTTAAAAGACTGACAGACATTTTCCCATATGCTTTTGTGCCATCTTGAGTGTCTGCGACAGAGCCCAGCAAGGCCCTCCCCACCCTGTGTTAAATCCACAAGCTCAGAGCTGAGACCCGGAGCCCAACTGTAGACAATGGAACATCCCCCCACAAGGGGGCCAGACCTTTCGTCTTGATGGAGAACTCCCCCTGTGCAGTAGAGCACTGATGGATCATGTCATATACCCCTGGTTCCCTGAGGCTTTCTCACCTGCCACTATCGTGACCACTGTGCTGCTTCCCACTCTGGACTGGACTGGAACATGTACATAGGTATAGGGAAGAGATAAAAGCTCACAACACGTGAAACTCAGGAACAGGAGTGGGAATAGCGATACCAAGAGGGTAGGGGAAAGGGGGAGTGGAGGGAGGAAGGGTATACTGAATGACACATAACCACACACACCCCTCCAGGGGGATGAACAACTGAAACCAGAGGGGAAGGGAGACAGTGGTCTGTGTGAGATATGAAATTAATAACAATCTGTAATCTGTCAAGGGGCCAAAAGGGTGGGGGGTGGAAAAGGGAGGAGAAAAAAGAGGAGCTGATCCCAAGGGCTCCACAGAAAGTAAATGTCTAGAAAAGAATGATGGCAATATATGTACAAATTTGTCTGACACAATTGATTTATGGATTGTAATAAGAGTTGTAAGAGCTCCCAATAAAATGATCTTTAAAAAAAAGATCTGCAAGCAGCACCTACCACCTGACTTGACAGAAAACATTTAGTCCTTCCTTGAGGGACTCGTCCCCCGCAGTCCCCCATTCAAATATTCCTCTTGAATATTGGGAAGTGCTCCTCTCACAATTAGCATTATTCTATGTCATGTTTCTGTTTGTGACCAGCAATTTAGGATCCTCCCGGCCATATAATGAGTTTGCTCAGGTAATTCCAGGGCCCAGTCCAGGAGGGGAAGGACTGGTTCCTTCAAAGACAGAACTCAAGATGTTCATTTTCTTCTCAGCTCTCAAAGAAAAAGTATAATGTAAAATGTATTTTTTAGGGGCATGAGCTAGGTGGATTTCAGCCATGTTTTGTTTGTGTGTTTCTGGGATTTATCCTGTGACTCCTTTAGCATAAGTGCCTTAGATGGCTAGCTCCTATCTCAGGACATGGAAGACATTACCACTTGGAAGTAGATATTGGTGGTATCTGGCATTGACTCAGTGGCTCTCACAATTTGTTTACTGGTTGCATTTTATTTGGGGTTGAGTACTCTAAGTGGAGGAAGTGCATCAGTTATGTCTCTCAAGGCTTTCTGGTTGTACTATTTTTAAGCTTTTGATCTTGGAAAGTTTCAAACTGAAGTAGAGAGAATCATGTGATGAATCCCAGCATGCCCAACCAGGTTCCATCATTACCAACTCATGCCAGGATTTTTTCATCTATTCTTCCTGCTTGCTTCCTCCGGGATGGCTGTGGAATAAATCCCAGAGACAGTGCTATTTTTATCCCTGGTTGTACCACTTTTTGTTATGTTTTATTTTTATATAAGAAAGTTTTACATACATTGAAAAGTGCCAACCAAAAAAAAGTGAAAATAAAAATTTGGGGGAAAAATTGAGTGTTTCTATTGTAAAAAGCAACAAAACTTTTTATTGTGAATTAAGGTTTCCAGTACAGATCATCAGTTTTCCATTCAACATTCACACACACTTTGTTTGAACTCATCCATTGCAGCCCCTCAACGGCCCCTCCCATGTCCCACTTGCTCCCTGTGTTTCCTGTTTGCATTCCTCCTCCTTTCCTGGCCCTTAGAGCTTTGTCCTTGGGCATGTGCTGTTCTCTTCATCTTAAGTGGACAATGATTTTAACATTGGGGTGAGCTCAGTTCTAGATCTGACAGGCCCACCAGCCTCTCTCCAACAGAAAAGTCTGGTCTTTTTATGATTTGAGTTCTGTTCAATATTTTCCTTTTACTCTTTCCAGAACCTTTTATTTATTGATTATGTTCTCTCTCTGTCTTTTTTATTAATCATTTTTTGGGGGGCTCTTACAAATCTTATAATAATCCACCATTCAATGGTATTAAGCACAATTGTACATATGTTGCCATCAACATTTCCAAAACATTGTATTTTTCTTATTTTATTGGAGGCTCGTACAACTCTTACACAATCCATACATACGTCCATTGTGTCGAGCACATTTGTATATTTCTTGCCATCATCATTCTCAAAACATTTGCTTCCTACTTGAGCCATTGGTATCAGCTTCTCTCTCCGCCCCCCACCCTCCCACCCTCATGAATCCTTGATCAACGATTTGTTATTGTTATTTCTTGTCTTACACTGTCCATTGTCTCCCTTTACCCACATCTCTGCTGTTTATCCCCCAGCCTTGTGATGGGTTCTTCCTTTCTCCCTCTTCCCAGAACCTTTTAATGTGATCCTTTTTAGAGCAATTGGTAGTGGTAACCAGGTGCCATCCAGTCCTCCTGGTCTTGGGGGTGGGGTGTGATTGATGTTTGTGTGGTCTATTAGTCTGCTACCTAATAGTTTCCACAGACCTTTCCACTTTCATCACTCTTCTTTCCTCTGGATGGAGAGAGAACAACAGTTGAACCTTAAATAATTTCTCGTGAGCGTTTAAGACCTACATTGCTGATCAATAAATTATGACGTAGAATATTGTCTTTGTGAATTCTATATGCCAGTTGACTTAGGTGTCCTCTGGGACTATGGTCCTAATCCCGCAGGCCCAATGGCTCGTTCCTTCAAGGTGTCTGGTTATATGTAAGAAGTTTTCATAACTTTGGCCCCCACGTGTTCCAACACTTTATGGATATATTTGAAACAAAGGTAAATATACATATACAGGAATCCACTGTCAAATTTATATTTATCTGTGCGTGTACTTCCACTGTCCCTCCCAGACCTGTTCATTCTGCACCTACTCATAGTTCACCACTACTGCAAGAATGTGTGTGTAACAGTATTTGCCTTGGTTGCCTTTAATTCTTGCAAACCTCCCAGTGTGTTCCCTTCCATCTTGTTCTGTGTGCTTGTGGATACTTCTTTCTTACATATGTTGCCTTTCCCTTCACTCAAACACTTGTCCACCCTCTAGCTCATGGTTTCCCCTCCCACCTCTAGCTACTATCAAAGAATGTTTCTTTTCATGAGAAAACCTTTTCTTGATTTTTTAAAATAATAGTAGTTTATTTTTTAAAAATTTTTAGTTTCATACAATATTTATCTTTGTAATTGACTAATTTCACTCAGCATAATGTCCTCCAGGTTCATCCATTTTATGACGATTCACTTATCTTTAAAATTGTAGAGTTTAATGTACCAAAGTTTATTTATCTGTTCTTCTATTGCTAGGCCTTTAGGTTGTTTCTGTCTTTTTTGTTCTTGTACATAGTGCTCTGATGACCCTCTATGTGCACAAATATATTCCTATCGGGGCTCTTTCTCTCTATGATGTAGAGATTTCTGGTATTTCTACCCATAACCCTCAACTTTTGGCGGCAGTGCCATATTGGTTTCCATAGCTGTGGCACCGTTTTACAGCAGTGTAGGCAGGCTCCAGCCTCTGCACACCCTCACTAGCATTTACTGTTGTCAGGGCTCCTGCTATATTTTACAGTTGTATAAAATTTCAATATATGGATGCTTTCTCTTTTAACCAATTGCTTACTGTTTGACACTTTATTATTTTTCTCTTAAAACACAATGTTTTTGTTTTCTAATACAATTATTCATGGCTCTGAATTTCCTCTAAAGCCAAAATGGCAACATATACCCAAGGACCAAGTTGAGAGGGAAAAACACAAGCTTAAAAATAATGAACTATAAGAAAATGAACAAGTTAAGAAAAGAAAAGGAGAGTAAATTCTGAGAAAGCTGAAAGGTGATAATAGAGTGGTTCCATGAAGTAAGATTATCTAGATTTGGATCTGGATTCCAGTAATCATAAACTAAGCAATCTGTGACAAATTACTTCCCCTTTCTTTACAAATATTTCTGACCAGTAAAATTGGTTTCATGGTAATAATTAAGTTGTAGATGATTATGAGAATTAAATAAATTGATATCTATAAAGTTCTTAGGAAAAAAGCCACAATGTTGAATTATGTTGAACATGTATATTGAACATAGAGATTGATGAACTTTTGTGAGTACTTCTATGGCAGATATGTTTTTAAAGTATCTAATTATAAAGTTTTCTAAGTACAGACTATATCAAAGCCATCCTATTGATACAAAAATTCTAAGGGGAATGGTAAAAGCCTCTTAATATTCTAGTATCTGCTAATCTCACTGGCAATTTAATTCATAAAGCTTTATTTTCTGATTTTCCTCAGGGTGTTCGCCCAGTAGCCCAGGCTGGCAATAAACATGGTGAACTTAGTCCATTAGCCCTATTTGCTTTTTTTGTGAGTCGCTGCAAAGATAATCTTCATGTCGTGGTAGCCTTTAGCCCCATTGGAGACGCCTTTCGAAATCGCTTGAGACAGTTCCCATCCCTCATCAACTGCTGTACCATTGACTGGTTTCAGGTTTGTTTGTTTGTTTTTTCCTTCTTCTTTGGCAACTAACTCTTTTGAAGTTTTACTGAAGTGTATATTTTTAAGCTCTATTAGTATATATATTCGTGAAGTGTTGATGATTGCTTACTATATAGTTCTCAGCAACAGAGACAGATAAGATGTGATCCCTGCAAACAGTTCACATTGTATGTCGTCTGGAGGCAGAGAATCCAATAAGGAGTCACAGTTATAGACAAGAGCCATAATCTCTTGTACAAAATGTATACATCTGGAGACAATAAATCTTGGAAGGGGGAAGGTGAATTAGTTACATACATATTGCAAAAGCAGAGGTGTGGGGAGAGCTTGGCTCATTTGGACAAGTGCAAATAGGCTATAATGTTGGCCCTTTGGAGAGACATCAGGCTAAAAAGGGATGGTATGGTGTGCCTAGAAATTTGGGTTTATCTCAAAGATGTGGTGAATTTATGCATATTTTTAGCTACTCTCTAGTTTTAAAAGAGTGGTGATTGTGTGGGAGATGATTGGACTGGGGCAAAAAAGAATCAGGAATTGTAGTTGTGCCAACAGCAAATGATAAGGGCCTCACCTAACCTTCAGAGAAATGAGCGGTGCTGGTAGAAGAGCATCAGATCACTATACCATTGGGAACAATAACTCACGGTGCTTCCTGTGTAATTGCTTTATGCCCAGTAGAATGTGGGCTGTGTACATTGACCCTGGATAATTTCTTTCAAAAATGATTTTTAATACTAATTTGGCTTATTCTCTTTTGCCTATTTGTTATCAATTTTGCATGTTTGAAAAACAAATTCTGCCCACTTGAAGATTGCACATGCATTTGGCTCGTGAAAGTTTTTAATACAACAGTGTAAATTAGGTGAAATGACTTTGGTTTATGTGAACCGCATCTTACTACTGCTTCCATTAAATAGCCAATAAATAAATAAATAACCAAAACCCCAAAACAAAGTAAAACAAAAAACCTGTCCAGCCATAAATTTACTGCTTGTGGGACCTTATAAATACAATTCTACTACTTCTGGATACCTTTGTCATAACCATGAGACTTTCATTTCTATTGTGAGTCATCTTTGTTGGGGAAAATTAGAAAAATAGGTAAGCAGAAGTTTCACATGGATAAGGGAGATTAAGTCAGTAATCAAGAGGAATGAAGATGGCACAGTAATGCACTGGGGAGACAGAGCCTGTGTCACAGAGGCTGGAGGAAGTGTTTGGGGCTTGTGTGTTAAACTCAGGAAATGAGTGTAAACCACTGTGTGTCACGCAATCAGAAAGGAATTGCCTTCTGAGTAGATCTCTATTTTCTTAAATATAGAGTGCTATAACAATTCAGAGACTAAAAGACGCAATGTTTTGTGAGAAATTGAAACAAAATCCAACAGATCTTGTGTTAGGGTTCTCTAGAGAAACAAAACCAGGATACTTTGATTTTATATATGTATCTATACAGCGAGAAGGAATGTAACAGCTAATAAGTCCACACAGCAGTCCAGAGGGCTCACTTCAACTCACTTTTGTGGAACAATTAATATACTGGAAGTCCTTTGACTCACTTGGGCTGCTGGGTCCAAGGTCAAGAAAGCAGACAGCAGAGTGTTCCCTCAGGCAAGGCAGGCGGAGTCTGCCTGCAGGCAGCAAGCAGCAGGGTGGGTCAGCAACAGTTGTAGAACAGCAGTTTAGCAAAGCAGGTCCAGATGGGATATGGAACTCAAGCAATGCAAGGCAACAGGATCTACTAGCCTCAAACTCAAGTGATGTCCGCAGCAGCAGCACTGTGCTGAAGTAGGTTTTGAAGAAGCCTCCAAGCTCTAGCGACATGATTCACGCTCCACGGGTGGCTGGGCCCACAGATGGTTTAACACACAGGTTGACGCAGAGGACTAGCTGGTCCGATCACCAGAGCAAGAGAGACGAGGCGGGCCTTGCAGAGCCCTATCTTTCTTTCTTTCTTCTCTTTTGACATACATCCTATTTTTATTTATTTACATTTTATTGGGGGCTCATTCAACTTACCACAGCCATCCATCCATCCATTATATCAAGCACATTTGTACATTTGTTGCCATCATCATTCTCAAAACATTTGCTTTCTACTTGAGCCCTTGGTATCAGCTCCTCATTTTCCCCCCTACCTCCCCACTACTCCTCCCTCATGAACCTTTGATAATTTATAAATTATTATTATTTTGTCTTATCTTACACTGGCCATTTATTTCTTTGTCCTCTAATCAAACTGTGACCTGGTTAATTCCACATGTTCCTATTGGCCAGGTTGGCCCAATAAACCTAACTATCACAGATATTAATAGTCAAACACCGTGAGCAATTTGGATTTATTTGAAGAATGCAGAGATGATTCCATATTAGAAAATCAATCAACATAATACACTATCAATAGAACAAAGGAAAATAATCACATGATTATCCCTATGGCGACAGAAAAACCACTCAATAAAATCTAGCACCTTTTTTTTATTAATCATTTTATTAGGGGACTCTTACAAATCTTATAACAATCCATCATTCAATTGTATTAAGCACACTTGTACATATGTTGCCATCAACATTTCCAAAAAATCTTCTTTCTACTTGAGCCCTTGATATCAGCTCCTTTTTTTCCACTCCTTCCCCCACCCTCCCATTCTTGTGAATCCTTGCTCAATTATATATTGTTGTTATTTCATGTCTTACACTGTCCATTGTCTCCCTTTACCCACATTTCTGTAATTCGTCCCCCTGGGAGGTGGGCTATATATCCAACCTTGTGATGGGTTACCCCATTCTCCCGCTCCCCTCTCCCCACCCTCATGATATCATTACTCTCACTACTGTTCCTGAGTTTTATCTGTCCTGAATCCCATGTGTTGAGAGCTCTTATTTGTACCAATGTGTGTACTCTGGTCTAGCCAGATTTGTAATGTAGAACTGGGTCATGGTAGTGGGGAAGGGGGAAGGAAGCATTCAGAAACTAGAGGAATCATGTATGTTTTGTTGGTGCTATACTGTACCCTGGATGAATTGTCCTTTCCTTTATAACTCTTCTGTGGAGGCCTGTCCGATTGTCTGCAGATGGGCTTTTGGTCTCCACTCTAATCCCCCCTCATTCACATCGATATGATTGTTTGTTATCTTTTGATACCTGATACCTGCTCCTGTCAACACCTCATGATCTCACAGGCTGGTGTGATTCTTCCATGTTGGCTTATTTGCTTCCCTGCTAGATGGCTGTTTGTTTAACTTCAAGCCTTTAAGTCCCCAGACACTATCTTTTGATAGCCAGGCACCATCCACTTTCTTCACATTTGCTTATGCACCCATTTTGTCTTCAGTGATTATGTCGAGAAGGACTAGCACCCTTTCTGGATGGAAACACTACAGAAATTGGAATAGAAGGGGAATCTCTCAGTAGGAGTTAGGACTATAAGAAAAGCCAACAGCCAGCATTATATTTGATGGAGAAAGTCTGAGAGCATCCCTTTGAAATTAGGAACCAAAGGTGCCCCATGCTCTTGCCACTTTTATCTTATATTAGAAGTGCTAGAGAGAGCAGCAAGACAAGAAAAATAAATAGAAGGTATCTATATTGGAGCTCTGGTGGCATCCACAAGGTCAGCAGTAGAAACCATCAGCCATTGGGCAGAAGAAAGAGCAGGCTTTGCACACCTGTAAAGAGTTACAGTCTCAAAAACACACAGGAGCAGTTCTACCCTGTCCTATAGGATCACTATGGATCGGCATCAACTTGGTGGCATTGTTTGGTATTTTGTTTTTTAATATATGAGCCCTGGTGGCATAGTGGATTAACCATTGAGCTGTTAATCATAAAGTCAGCAGTTTGAAACCCCACCTGATGCAACAGAGAAAAATATGAGATACCCTGCTTCCATAAAGATTTACAGCCTCAGAAACCCAAAGGGGCCGTTTCTACCTTCTCCTATGGAGTGCTATGAGTTGGAATCAACTGGATGGCTGTGGGTTTGAGTTGATATTAGAAAAGAAGCAAAATCATCTCTATTGATGGATATGATCCGACATACAGAAAATCCCAGAGTCCACAGAAAACTAGAGCTAATAGAGGAATTTATCAAAATTGTAGGGTAGAAAATCAACAAGCAAAAATCACTTGGGTTTCTGTATACCAGCAATGAGAAATTAAGGAAATAATTCTATTTTTAGTAGCATCTAAGAGAATAAAATACCTAGGAATTGATCTAACCAGGGTGGGATGTTAAGGACATATACAGTGAAAACTAAAATACTGCTGAAAGAGCTTAAAGATAACTTTCTTTTTTTTTGAGTGAGAGAAACAGTGAGTGAGTGAGAGTGAGTCAGTGAGTGAGTGAGACAGTGAGAGAGTGAGAGTGAG